ATTGCTTTTGTTAGTTTTAATTGCAGCCTTGAAAGCCTTCTACGAAAACAGCATTTCAGAAAGATCCATGTTTTTATATAGAGCACTTCTTATTTACTGAAACTGCTTTTAGCACCCACATTCACTCCCCTTTTCCTAATTTAATGTTCACTGTGCCAGAATGGCGTGACCTTAGGCACTTACGTCCGTCCGTATCTCTCCAACCATTAAGTATGTCTGCTTTGCTGGATGCCAGGCGTCGAACCAACAGACAACAATCCGCTTCAAACATCAGAAAGATTTTTCGGTTGAAATTTCTTTGTAAACTGCAACTGCTACTTAACTTGAGAACATGCATATATGACAGCTTGCGGAAACGAACTTCAAGGCCTTTTAGAATTGTTCGCTGCTAATATTCAGAAGCAATTTCTTCCAACTTAGCTGCGGCGTCAAACCCAAGCAAAGCAGTTAATCTCGGATCTATCCGAACAAACATTAATGTTATCTTAATTTTTTTAAAATGCAATATTTTGAAGCACGTCATACTTTGCCCACCTGTCTCATTACGCATACACATGTTAAATTGTCTTATGTTCAGGGAGAAATAAGACAAATTTGCTGTTTTTGCATGACTTGCGGAAGTGTATAGAAAAGAGGAAAATGGGAAGTATGTCATAGTGTTTTCTGGCTTTTTTACAACTGCTTTTTTGCCAAATGCAGATGTTCATTGAGTTTACACCAACATTGCATGGGAAACACGGAAAAAACAAGGTACTGCCTATATTTTACATTGGACATGTTGCAGCTTTTAACTGCGAATTTGTATCTTTGAGGCGATTATTTACAAAGTTTTAAGATTAACAACAATTTCTCTTATTCTCTAATTCTTTCATTTAAAGAAAGTGAATCAAGAAATGACATTTTAAGGGAATTTTCATACGAAACCAAATTTCGTTAAAACTGCAGGAAAACAATATGGAGTTTCTCACTAACATTACTGCTGTAGGTTCAAGTAACTTCTTCTTTGGATCCTAGAAAATCCTAGTTGGGAATAGAATCCATTGCTCTTCTCATGGGGAAGCTGCATGCTCTGTTAACTCATATATTCCTGAATTACGCTATTGCATTTGGGTTGTTTAACATTAAATTCGACGATCTTGAACGCACTATATCTAGTGTA